GAGTAAAAATTAAAACCAACTAGAACCATCAAAAAGAGGAAACTAAACTCAACGGAAGAGAAAAAAAATAGCAATTCAACTTCCATAGTTCTTTCTTTGGATGTGGATAGCATTTTCCATCACAAGGCCTCTGGAGATGTCTTAGATCCTTGTATTGCCGGGAAGGGTCAAGTTCATCAATATTAATTATCATACAACGTGACTGTTATTGTGTACAACGTTCTCTTGGTTCTGCTCACTTCACTCAGCATCAGTGTTGTCAGTACTTTTTAAGGATAATTGATTCACTTCTTCCAGTGCCTGTTTACTAGCCAATCACTTGGTTTCCTTGTTCTTTTAGCCTTCTCTGATACCTCTGTCTCTGGGTCCTTCATGATACAACAATAGAAATTTATCAGATGCCTCCTATGTGTAGAGCACTGTGCGAGGCTCTGGGGGAGATAAAATTTAGATAAAACAAAGGTCTTAGCTGCTGTTGTCCACGGGATGTATTGTAGGGGTTCAGGCCAGAACCTAGGATTAGAAATTAGAATGTTAACCGCTTCCTTCAGCTTTACCTCTAAATTCAGAGCTTTGGGAAATATTACGCAGGTCATGGGAATAAAATGCTTTGAAAAATTAAATAGACAAAATTTCCTCCAGAGTGGTAATGAGGTAGGGATTTTAGGCTCCATGTACCTCATGTTGCATCTTTATATTTTCCCAGAGAGGCAAAAATTACTCCACGTGGGATGTTAGCTTTGCCCCAACTCTATGTGCAAGCCTAGGTGTGTTGTTTAAAGGCAAGGAGTTTTTCCAATGCAGTAATTCCAAAAGTGCAAGGAGACAGGTAGGTTTCCCTCACCCCTTTGCAGAAAACTTAGTGTTACTATTTTAGCTTAGGTAGACTGATCACTATTGCTTCACAGCTATAGTTAAGTTTCATACTCACCCCTCTTTATCACATTCAGTTAAATTTAACAGTATTCCCTGACTCATCACATTCAACTAATTATCTTTTTCTAAACTTTCCTTTTACCTAGCGAAATACGCAAAGTGTGACCAGTGTGGAAACCCAAAGGTAGGTCTGTCAGTCCAGCCCCTCTATCTGGACCATAACTCTTAGCTTCCCATTACCAAATTTTCCCTGGGCAAAGACCTTCCTAGTCCCTGTGAAAAGCATAAACTTTGTCACTGGCCTCTCTAAGGGCATTATTAAGTTGCTCCATTCTTCCTGGAAAGAATGGGATGTTTCTCTCACTAGATGATAAGGGAATTGTAATTTCTCAATCCAACTCAAAAATTTTGAGGTTATTAAATATTCTATCTATGCCTATAGCAATTCTGGGAATAGAACTCCTCTAAGCAAGGATAGTACACCAAAGGAAATACTCTCACTTCTTGCCAATGGACCTGAAAGGTCTTCCACTCCCCCGAGGTATTAGAGCAAGTTCACAACTCAGCTATATCAGCTATACCATCAGAAGAGACAGTGAGCAAGACTGGCCACAGAAAGCTGTCCCAGAGATCATTCAAATGCCAGCAGGGATGATTTCTTTGGGATCTTGACCCTAGTGTTTTCTTTGGGGAGACCTAGATACCACCTTTTCATAATGTCCATGCTTAATCCCTTTGAGATGTGACTGAGCTAGACTAGACTGTTACATTCTTCCTCACTGAGATTAGTAGCAGACGGTAGAGAAGGCACTTCTAGCCTCTGAATTTGTTATACACCCTGCTTGTTACCACAAAAAGTACTGCTATGAATATTTTGGTGTCTGAAATTGACTTTCCCTCCCTGACTGGATAGAGATCACAGAATTAGAGGGCTCCCTCACTAGCTCTTGGGTTTAGGAACAGAAGATCCTTTTTTTTCCTGCCCATCTTGGCGCTGGGTAGGCAGATGCCTTCTTGACAAGGTAGTCCGGTAGTTTCTCCAGCATGACCTTGACACTGATGTGTACTTTCAGCACTGGGGGGGGAGCAGTGTCAATATCTGCTGCCTTAAGTGCCCAGCCTGCCTTGCCTCAGAAGGAGCTTTCATTCCCCTTCTCATTTTGCTTAAATCCTCCCCTAGCTCTCACTCCCCTAGCTTTATGCTGAGCAAAACTTGTGAGGCGATTCATTATTAACCACTCAGATTCATTTCTTAGTTCTTCAAAAAAGGACTTCAGCTCGTTTCACCAGATCTTCTGTTTTTAGGGCAATAAATGTGTTTTTAACCTGTGCCGGGGCTGCTGCAAGAAGAGAGCTTTCAAAGAAACTGCAGATTGTCCAGGTAAGAGAAGTGCACCCTAAAAGTCGTGGGGGAGAGAGAGGTGGTAGCACAAGGAACCTGACCAGCTGGAGGAACAGGGATGGGGGTGTGAGGAACAATAACCAGGCTGGTTGAGGTGATAAAATCTTTTCTACTCCTTCCTGCCCCCTCCCCCCAAAATGATTTTCATTTAAACTGAATTGTCCCCCTAGCCCAGTACCCTAAGCAGCTTTCCCAGGAAGGTTAACATGCTTGACTCCTACCGCCTTTTCCACCTTTCTTCTCCCAGGGCCAGGTCCCAGGGAAACACCAGGCTTTGATCTTTCAGCTACCATCACCCCTCTTTAGGTCCTGGGAACATTTTGACTTTAATCCCTAGGAACTCCACCATCCCCTGGCTCCACCAGGGGAAGAAGTCTTGGAGAGCTTCTGGAGTGTTTTTGGCAAAGTGCTATTTTAGCATTATCCCATATGTCTTCTGCCCTACGGGCTATTCATTAGAGACTCTTCTGTCTACCTTGTCGCCAAGTCTTAAGGTTTTTCTGTCCTCACCAGAATTCTGTGTCCCATTCAAAACTACTCACATGTTCTGTTTCCCCTAACTCTATTTTTCTTCCTATTCTCAGGTCATGGATTGCTTTTTAAAACCAAATCAGAGAAGTCCCTTGCATGGAAGGGTGGCCGGCCCAGCTTGCAGGAACCCCAGTCCAGGGATCCAGGGGTGAAGGAACCTGGTGGATTCCCAGAAGTTGTGGGTAGTGTAGGATGAAGGGCCAGCTGGAACCCAGTACAACCCCTCCTCCCATTCCTGGGCCTTTGTTCCAGTGCCACTACCTTGATAATGGTATCAGGGCTGCTGCTGCTGAATTCCAGATAAGTCTTATTTAAAGAAACACCTTTACTCAGGGAAATCTCCTGTTATTTTAACACAGAAGGAAATGCTGTATGGTCCTCTCACTACAAGGCCCATACTGGGGCCTCTGGAAATGCTGCATTGGAGAGCAGGTTCCCAGGCTCGACCTGCCTGCCCACTGTCCTCATTAACCCCTCTGTGTTTTAAAAACTGAAAAAAATAAATAAGCATTTTACATCATAGTTCCCAGTGTGAAACATTGAAAAGATGAATCCAAAAGAATCAGATTCAGGTGGCCCCTTCCATCTAGGAGGGGGTAAAGGAAAAAGATAACCTCTCAAGAGGCCAGGTAAGCAAACTTCATCTTAGCAACCAATGAGTTCAGCATCCTTGGTTAGGACAGTTCCCAGTTAGGACATAACCTAAGCTATGTCAGCCTACTTACCCACCATATCACAGACTGACTCTCCAATGACACCAGCACACAAAAATCACCAAACCAACCAAATTCTGTGGTGTTAGCCAAGTAGCAAGAAGTAAAACTTATGACCATACTCATAAGATAAACAAAAGGGAATTCTGTCTCCTTTAAATACAGCTGAAATAGGGGCAGCTAGGTGGTACAGCGGATACAGCACTGGCCCTGAAGTCAGGAGGACCTGAGTTCAAATCCGGCCTCAGACCAAACACTTGACACTTACCAGCTGTGTGACCCTGGGCAAGTCACTTAACTCTAATTGCCTTAAAAAATGTGGGGGGGAAAATATAACTGAAATAAGTAGGGGATAGACTCATTTACTACTTTTCTGGAATTCATCCCATTCCATTAGGCAACCCAAGTGGTTGAAAGGTAGAGCTTTCAGCTATCTACAGGGTTTGGGATTAAATCGCAGGCCTCTTCTTCCCCTTATAAGGACCTAAAAAGTGCTAAGAATATAGCAATCACTGTTTTCATAGAACCACAACCATCAAGGAATAACCGAGGAGAAGGTTTTTATTCTGCCTTTTAACGGTCTAAAGATTCAACAACTCATTTCTAACTCAGGAAAAAAATTGAACGAACAAGAACGTGTTTGGGGATAGGGGGGAGGGGTGGGCAGCGTAGAAGGTACTGCCACACATCATTGTGCTCACTGGGAACAAATACCAGCACAAGCCAGGCCTCTCCCCCTTCTTCCCACTCCAGAACAGCAGCAGGAGAGGTAGCCCAGCCCGACCTTTTCCCCTAGCCCCTAGCATAGGGGGATAGCCATGGTTGGGGTCACCAGGAATCTGTGTAGCCAGGCAGGCACCTGAAACTGTCAGCCCTGAAAGTAGCCAGGAAATTCAGCAGCCCAGTGTCCCACAGCAGGCTAGCTGGGGGAACTAGTGGTACCAAGCCTTCTAGTTCCCAGCTGTGCAGGGGGAGACAAAGAAAAACATTGTGTGGGGAGGGCAAACCCCAGCTGACCCCTGACAACCCCTGCCACTATATCTGTGGGATACAACTCTACTGGCAAGGTGGGCGCTGAAATGGCAGTCTGGTAGTCCCAGGGCCCAATGGGAAGGATGCATCCCCTGCATTGAAAGATGAAGCCTCCCAGGCTCATGGAGAAGGAAGCAGGCTGGGCATCTGGAACCAGAGAGACCTGGGGAGCATGGGGTTGGGGATGGACACTCAAACACAGTCCTGGGGTCCAGGTGGGGAGGGGGGTCACACCCCTATCACATGTTTGTGCTCATCCGTGACTGGCTGTTGGCTGGTGTTAGTTCACCCTGGCTCCCTTCTCGAGGAGGAGACTGCAACAAGACAGACAAGAAGATAGTAGGTTGAGCCAATATCTCAAGGAAACCAGTGCTAACAAAGTACCCCTTCCCTCCCCAGTCCCTCCTGAGCCCAACAACTGCCTGCTCTTTTGCTCTTCTCCTCAGCTGTGCCCCACACCCCCTTCACCTTGACGTGGATCTGGTTTCGTAGTACAGCCGCCCGAAGAATCATTGCTTTGGCACGGCGCTGGAATTCTTTGCCCATGAGCAGTGACTTCTCAAAGGTGGTGCTGCGCTGGTCCACATCTCGGGCATACAGAATCTGTCAACCAACCAGATGCTTAGCCATGGACCGTATGCCACCCTTCCACCCTGTTCCTCACTCCCGCCTCTACAAAGCCAAATTCTTGCTTCCACACTTTTGAGGAGATAGTCTCTTCTTTTTGAATTCTGCCCTCACCTTGCTATGAGAGTCAATTCGAGCATTGATGAGCCCCTCAAGGATGAGCTGTGTTAGTTCATCTTCTAATGCAGCCACGGTTGTATTGAAGGCAATGGCCATCTTACGCATGTCAGCAGAGACATAGGGACTGAAATACTGTGAAAGAATATGAGCCAGAAAATCGGCCATCATAAGATGTAAAGTGCTTTGCGAACCTTTTAAGTGTTAAATAAACACTGCTATCATTATTATTATTATCATTATTACTACTGCTGCTGCTGCTGCTACTACTACTAGTACTTCTTCCCTGACTTCCTGCTCCTCAAGTATATAACTCACCTGGATGAGGGCACGGTTTCGGATCTGGGTATAGAGGGTCCTGACATGGGGAGCCAAATACATGTCCAGTAGCAAGTTGTCCTGCAGCAGAGAACTTGTCAGGGAAATACCTACTACCCTGTCTTCCGACCCCAAAACATACCCCAGCAGAACAGAAGAAGCTTCAGCTAAAGGTATCTTCTTCCTTTCCCTTATAAGATGCATTTGATGACTTCCCCCTGAGCTCACTGCCCAGACCACAAACCACTCCCGATCTCAAGCCCCTCCTTCTCAGAGCTAGTGAAGCTCTCTGATCAACCTGAAACCCCTCGAGCCCCACCTTCATCTCATCCAGCATCTTCAGGCACGAGGCGTATTTGGATTCATAGAATTTGAAGATGATGTCCCGAACCTGCGGTTCCAGCTCCAAGAACAATTTGAAGGAGCTGCGGACGCCAGACCTCTCAGTTTCCTGGCCCCTTTCAGCCAAGAGGAAGGCTCAGGGAAAGGGACAGAGAAAGCTGGGCTGGAGAAGCCCCGAGGGGCTTGGACTTTCAGGGAGTAACCCTGGGGAATTGGCCAGAGAAGGCTTGGGGAACAGAGACATGTGGATAAGTTGGATTAAAGACAGCCTGAAGTGAGAAACAGGTTATGCTGGGTTGGAGAAACCAACTTCCATTATACATGGAACCAAGCGTCTTCCCTTACCTCCCACACCCACCTGCTAGAGATGACATTGCGCTGTAGCTCTTGTCGATCAAAGGTGGCCAAGGCACAGAGACCACCATAGACAGCCACGTTACTGGGAGACAGTAGCTGAGTAGAAAAGCCAAGGATAGAAGGTTCAGGGGCCCAATGGGCAGAATTGTGGGATAGAATGTAACTCGGGCCAGTCAAGTGAAGGGGCTTGGGTGAGACAGTGAAATAAAAGAATGTTTCTGCCATTCCCCTAGCAGAAGAAGCAAAACCAATTTTCTCCAGATTTCCTCCCCACATAGTAACTACATATTCCTCCCTTCGATTTCCCTTTCCTTCTCACCTCAGGGAAGTCACAGTGATCAAATGAAGCTAACAGAAAGCACTTGGCTGCCTGCTTATACTTTCGAGCAGCCAACTCAGCCAGGCCTAAAGGGGGCAAGAAAAGGAATGGGATAGAAAGTGAAATCAAACATCACTTAAAGGAAAGCAAGTCTTGGGAAGCCCAGTAGCCTAGTGGTAAATCCCAAGTAATTGGCCCCTGATCCCAGTTCCCCACTGTGAGTTTGGGTCCACACAACCATCAGAAGAAAATAAAATCCAAAGAGTTAGGTACTGTGGAGGTTTTGGCCATAGCTAGAGACAGTGGGGCTGTTCTGTACTTCCTGAAGACTAAGCTGATTCACCTTGCCTATATGCTCCAAGGTCAGTGGCAGAATATGAAGGTTAGGGAAAAGCATATTCTTTCATTCTAGAGTTCTGAGAAGGGTGTCTGGAAACTGCCCTCCTCACCCACCCACCCCTCACTCCCTACCCTCCCCACCCCCAGAGGAGTCTCTGTCTGCACACTTCCTTACTTACCTTACCTTACAGGTAAGGCTGCCTTACCTGCTGCACACTTGAGCTTGGTAAGAATGGCCTGGGTCTGGCTGTCCCTTTCCCCTCGCTGCTGTGAAAGGGAAGACACAGACTAAGAGAATCAACAACCACCACCAATGTCTTTTCACTATCCTTTGGGGCCAGCCTGAGAAAGAACGGGCAGATAAGACATATTCTGTATAACAACCAGGGATGACCTGAAGGGATGCTGAGAAAGCTTACAAAGGAAACCCAACCTGATGGAGAGGAAGTACATGTGAATATAGTGGGCAGGGAGTGGAAATGAGGTTTCAGGGAACACCAAGAAATGGAGCAAACCATAAGAAAGATAAACAAGGAATAGTTAAGGCAGCAGCACGGTTACCTCAGCAATCTCAGGAGTAGACTCAGCTTTGCTGACATAGCTCAAGACATGGGACCAATTCTGCAAGTAGACACTGACCTGCTGGGCAGAGAGCATGGCATGAGGTTTGATGGCACCACCTACTGGCCTCATGAGTGCCCAGAGGGATATGGGGTACCTTCCCAGGTCTCTCTTCCCCTAACCTGGGGGGGGGGGGTTTCCTCTCACTCGCACCTTGATTACGTTGAGGCACATATTGATGACATGTTTGGCGCTGGTGCAATAGTCCCGAGCCCGGGAGTAACACTTGAGGGCATTGCTGAGATCCCCACAGTCGAGGTAATGGTCACCCAGGTCATCATGCCCCCGTCTGCCAGGGAGAAGCAAGGTATGAGGCATTTCTCCCACTTCTGACCCTCCCTGCCTGGCTCCCTAGCTTTGTTCCCCCCACTGCTCTTACCTGATGCTCTCCTTAATGGAGTTTCCTTTGTAGTTCTTCAGGTCTGTATCCAGCTTCTCCAGTTTTAGCAGTGCCTTCTTTCTTGTGGCTTCCACCCAGGCTGTGTCCAGGGGTGGGGGCTCCACCCCTCCCTCAGGGACAGCATCAGGAGCACTCTGTAGCTCTCTGTTGTCAGGGTGATGGTGGTAGTAGCAGCAGGAGAAAAGTGGCCATCAGAGATATGGGGAGTAAGGGGATAGTAGTAGAGAAGAGCAGCCAAGCTATTCAGAGTGAGTGATTCAACCTTTGTCTTCCAGCCCTCTGCATAGTTTTAGTTCCTCTCTCCCAAAGTTGATTCTTTTCATCCAAACTGCCTTGCTCCCACCACCATGAGAAACCTTCCCAAGAAGCTAACAGGCTTGACTTATACCACCTGCTCCCACTTTCTTCTCTAGGGCCAGGTCCAGAGGTCTCTAGGGACCAGACCTTGCTCCTTCAGCCCTTTACAACTTCTGGGAGGACCCGAATCTGGATTTTCATCCACTTCTCCTCCCACATCCTCATACCCCACCTGGTGGCTTCAGAGAGCTTCCGGTGTATCTCTTCATAAACATCCACATTGAAGGTCCTCTGCACAAAGGACAATGCCATCTTCAGGGCCTCCACCCGAAGTTGCGGGCAGTGATCTGCGATAAACTGCAGCCGCTCAATGCGCATCAGCCCACTGTAACTGGATGCATACTGTTCCAGGTCCTGATAGTGAAAAGGTAAGCGTCTAAGGTACAGGATCCTCAATGCAGATTCCTGTACTTGGTACTATATGAAGATAAAAGAACACTGAAGCACAATCCCTGCCTTCAGAGAACATAAGACCTAACAGTTATTAAAACTCATGTACATGAAGAGGCACAGAAGCACATAACTGAAACACATGTACACAAGCATAGAGGGAAGATAAATGATCAGAACCAGGGACACAGGTTGCCAGAAAAAGGAGAGGGCATTCAAAGTGTGGGCAAGAGCCAAAAAGCTAGGAGGAGGGAATGAACAACATATGTGCAAGCCAAAGTGAAGGGGTTTGCTTGCTTGGGGTAAAGGATCCATGGTAGGGCTAGAAAAAGTGGAGAGTGGGGTTCATGAGTGGGGTAAGTGTTCAGATTTGATAGAATGGGCAATAAGGAGCCACTACAGATCTAAAAGCCATGATCATAGTAGTTTTTTGAAGAAGATTGTTCCCACTGTATAGGATGGATTCAGGGGATAGGAGAACAGTTAGAACATTACTACTATAGGGCCCCAACCCCTCTCCAGGAGTACCCTTTATCCATGCCAGCCTAGGTAATATCATTAGGGTACCCTCTGTCATGTAGCCCAAGAAGACCCCATCCCAAAGAATTTTCATTCCCAAAGTAGAGGCACTGCCCTCTGGGACCCAACCCCAAACTGTTCCCTGTCCCCTACCAGGGTGGGATTTTCCACCACATAGTTGATGTCTGGTGCATTCTGCTGATCCTCTTGAGGGTCGACATCAATCTGCATGGGTTCCACTGCCCCCTGCAATGCAGATGCCAGTCACCTGTGCACTTTAGCCTGGGGACTGCCCATGGCAAGCTAGTATACAATTTTATTCTGGCCCTTTATCCCGCCACTCCCCTCTCCCCGCCCCAATCAACCCTGCCCAGAACCAAGGTCTTGCCACATTCTTCCTGTGTACCCACCCACCACAGCTTTCCATCCAAAGGATGCCTCCCCACAGCCCTAACTTCTCCACCAACCCCATCTAACACTGACCAACCTGGGAATAGAGGGAGAGATTAAGGAATTCTTCAGCAGGACCCAGGAGCCCACAAACACAACCTCCCATACTCAGTTCCCTTCCCACCATCTTTAGAGGGGGAAGGCAGAAATGAAGAGAGCTAGACAGTAACCACTTGGCATCCCCAAGGCAGGTTCCCAACTACTGGCCTGATGTGATTTCCTCAAAGCCATAAAGGAGAAGCAGGTGAGACCTCAACCACTGGATACAAAGAGTACCTGTCACATCCTAAGCCATCCTACTCCATCTGTCCTACTTAGATGAAGCAGTAATATTTGCAATAGGAATTACACCCATTAATATGGGGAAGAGGATAAAAGCATCAACTTGGGAAATCATACTGGTATTTCCAAAGTGGAAAGAAGTACAATAGCTGCAATCTCAGGTTATCAGCTCCTGCTCCTCACCTCTACCAGAAATGCAGGCCCCTAAGCAGAGCTTCCAGAAACTTGGGTCACTGTTACTGCCCCATCTCTCCCCAACCCCACCTCAGGAAAAGTAGTACAGCTGACTGCACAGGCTCCTAATCATATAACCAATTGCTGAGGAAGAGGAAGGAGGAAGAAGAGTAAGGGGCGGGGGAGAGGGAATGGTCTGGGATGCCTTGAGTTCTGCCCAACCTATCTGCTTCTTCCCTCCCCCGTCTTTGCCCTTGGCACCGAGTCCCTGATCTTGGGGCTGGCAAAGCAGTGGGGGCCCAGCCATGGCAGGGTGCGGCTGGGGCTCCGCTCCCTCCTCCCTCGCTGGGGACCCCCTCTCCTGGAAGGTACCTCATAGAGCAGCGTACAGGCCGACAGACTGGCGCTCAGGCTGAAGTCTCCGGCTGTGCCAGGGAGGAAGAGGTCTGACCTACTGCTGTGAGGGGTGCAGTACAGATCTGTCACTGATGAAGAGGCTGAGCTGGGGGCCGAGCTATCCCTCATTCTGTCCTGACTTTCTGCACCCCCTGACCCTGACACAGAGCTGGCTGGCTGCTGAAGGGGAGAAACAATGTTAATGTAGGGGGGAACCAAGCACCTCTCCACCACTGCGAGGCCCTCCACAGGGCCAGAGAGCCAGGTTGTGGCAGATCTGACCCGGCTGGGCTCCCTTTCAGAGGACCAGACCAAGGTGATGAGAGACCCTGAAGCGCCAGGGGCGGACCCCACGGAGTCCTACGGATGGGGGGGCACAAATGTCACTAAGAGCATCTCCACCCTGCGGCGGTAGCAAAGGGAGGAAGGGGCCTGCGTCCCGGTAACCCCCGCACAGCAGCCTGGCGGGGGCAAGCTCAAGGACGGCAGGGCACGAGGGCGGCAGAAGCTCTACGAGGCGGCCCCCAGTCCGTCCTGGGTGCTCCCTCCACAGGGATCACATACCCCGGGCGAGTGGGGACTCCAGAATCCTGGGCCCCAGGGGCGGGGTGAAAGACCTACCAAGGGCCTGGCCGGGTCCGGTCGGACCTGAGCCATCTCCCTCGGGTGCTCCCTGTCCGACCCCGGGAACCCCCTTCTAGGGCCACGGCCTCGACCTCGGCGAGCCCCGGGGGCGTAGCCTGCAGCAGTCCAGAGGACCAGCTCCCAGGGCGAGTGGGTGGGCAGGGGGCCCAAGGAGAGGGCACCCGAGCCTGGGTTTCCTTCCCCAAGCGCGACCCCGGGGTCAGGACGGCCGCACCGCCCTGCCCCGAGGGGATCTCCAAGCGTTCGCTGCAGGCCTCTCCCCCGGCCTCGCGCGAGGAGCCCGAATACCGAGGGCCCCCGACCGTGCCGGGTCCTGCTTACTGGGGCCCGCGGAGGCGGAGGCCGGTGGGCCTCGGGGCTCCCCTCGTCCCCTCCCCCGCCCCCCAGTCGGGACATTGCCCGCCCGGGATCCTTCCCCCACCGGCTCCCGGGACCGTCCCGGGGCTGCGGAGCCAGGGCGGGGCGGGGCCGCGGGGCTCGGGCCGGGCCGGGCGGCACCGCCCCTCGGCTCGTTACCTGCAAATTAAACACCTGAACCGGCAGCGGCATCTTCCTCCTACCCCGCCGCGGAGCCGTCCACATCCGGGTCAGCTGGACCTTGCCACAAGTATATCCGGGTCACGGGACGAGGGGCGGGGAGGGGCGGGGAGGGACGGGAAGTAAAGCCGGCTTGGCCGCGGGGGCGGCGGGGGACGCCCTTAAAGGGGCCGAAGTCGCCACCGCGGCCCCGCCGCCACTGCCGCCGTCCGCTCGCGCCTCCGTTCCCCTATCTTCTTCCTCCCCAGGAGCGGGGGGGGAGGGGCGCGCCACGTCCAGGGCCTAACACTGAGGAGAAACTGAGGCACGGCGAGGGGCCGGGTGCTTCCCCGTGCGTCCCCTGGGTGCTTGGCGTCCGTCGAGAGGCCGCGCCTGGAGCCCGGAGTCCCGGCCGCCCAGCCCGGGCCCGGGGCCCTCCGGGGTTGGGGAGGCGGCGATGGCAGGGCCCGGGGCCCGTGGGGGCTGAAGGATGACCTGCACTGGCGTGGGGCTGGGCAAACTCTGCTTCGTGCTGTCCGTGGCCTTGGGAGCCTTTCTGCTGCTGCTCCTGCCCCTCCCCCGCCTCCAGGCTCCCTGGGGGGTCTGGGCCCACCCGCCGCCCCGGCCGCCCCCCACCTGCGAGCAGCCGCCCAGCGCCCCGCGGCCCCGGGATGGGGGCGTGGCCCAGCCCCTGCAGGGCGTGCTCCAGCGGCTCCTGGGGGCGCCCGCCGCGCACCCCCGGACGCCCGAGAGGCTGGAGCCCAGGGACATCTTCATCGCCGTGAAGACCACCAAGAAGTATCACAAGTCTCGGCTGGAGCTGCTCTTCCGCACCTGGATCTCCCGGGCCCAGCAGCAGGTAGGATGGACCCCCACCCCCACTCCAGCCCTCCGCCGATCCCTCTCTGCAGGGGGAGCAGGATCTCAGAGGAGAAGGCGCCCTTGGGCAACCCCCTCGCCCAGCGGGGTGCCCGGCACATTGTAGGCGGTCCATATAGGCTTCATGACTTGCTTTAGATGGCCCTCTCTTCGAGGAGGGAGTGGCACGGAACCTTAGAGTTGGAAGGGACCTCAGAACTTCCTTAGGGGGGTTACCCAATACCGAGGCTGGCACATAGTAGGCCCTTTATGAGGGGTTCGTGACTTGGCTTAGGGGGAACCTAACACAGAATCCCAGAGTTGGAAGGGACTTCAGAAGATAACCCCCAGCACTCATCACTAGGTCTGGCACATAGTAGGCACTTCATAAACACTTTTTGACTTTAGGTGGACTTCTGAGAACAGAACTCCTATATAATTATGCAGATTATGCAACTATAACTTTATTTTCTGAAGACTTCCAGGGACAGGGAACCCCCATTCTCTGAACATTCCATTCATCTCTCAGTCCCCCGCTATGATGCTTAATTTGTCTTCTGCAGGCCAGAATAATGCTCTCCATCTTACATTTTATTTTTAGCTTACTTTAACAGAAATTGCCTTCTAAATGTGTTATTGTCAAGTCAACAGGCATTTAAGGGCTTACTGTTTGGCTGGCACTTTACTAAGGGGGCCTGCTCTCAAGAAAAGAAACAATAAGCAAGAAACTTTTAGGGACATACAAGATTATATCCGTGGGAGATGAGAAGTAATCTCTTAGGAAAGGCACTAGTATTGAAAATACCTGGAAAGATTTCTTGGAAAAGGGAGGATTTGAGCTGAGTTTGAAGGAAGCCGGGAGGCAGAAACAAGCTGGGAGAAGATTCCAGGCATGACAGATAGCCAGTGAAAAATGGGAGGGTGGGGGGAATCGGAAACTTTCACCTTGGTGACAGGTGACTAGAGCAGCTTATTATATTTCGTAACATTGTAACACTGTTTTGGGAGCTGAAGGAAAGAAAAGAGGATAAGTAAGATCCTACCTTCTAGGACCTTACTGTTTAGGAGGGGGAGATAAAATGTGCATAATCAAACACTTACTAAACACCTACTGTGTATCAGGCACTGTGCTCAACTTATTTACATAACTAGACTATAGGTTGTCATAAAGGCATTGGAGAAATACAGGCTAGAGCCTGTCCATCTGTGTGGAGTAGGGAAGATTTTTTTTAGTAGTTAGAGGGTACCTGGAATCAGTAAGATGTAGATTCAAATTTGGCCTCCCAGGAAGTACTCATCCAGTCATGTGACCCTGGGCAAGTCACTTGACCTCTATATGTCTCAATTTCCTCATCTGTAAAGTGGGAATAATAATGGCACTTTGGAGTTGATGTGAGGATAAAAATGAAATAATATTTGTGAAACTCTTAGCACTGTTACTGGCACATAGTAGGCACTATGTAAATGTTAGTTATTCTTATTGTAATTATTATTAAGGCAGTGAGTGGCATTTAGTTGAACCTTGAAAAATGGGTAGGATGTTGGCTAGCAAAGTATTCCCAAGCATAGGAAATAGCATGAACACAGGCCTGGAGAGGGTAGGACTTGTTCAAGGAATGGCAAGTAGTCCAGATTGGCTGAACCATATATTCTGGTCTGTGAAAGAGAACAGTATGAGAAAAAGCAGGGAAAGTAAGTTGAGACTGAGTTTTGGAAAATCTTGAATGATTCGGCTTAGGAATTTGGCTAGGGTTGGAGGTGGGGTATCGACTGTTTTTGAGCAGTAGAATGGTGTGACCAGGCAAGTAGGTTGGTACAGTCTTACAGGCTGGTTTGATGTCCCTCTGGAATCAGGATCAATGGTTATTCTTTTCTGGCCCCTTTCAGCCATGAGAGTTGTTGGACAAAATGAAGGCAAAAACATATTTAGCCAACAGGTTTATAACTTGGAGTTAGAAAACCTGGATTTTTGCTGAAGAAGCACTGTGATGTGTACTGGAAAGAGGAGTGAATTTGGAGTCTGAGACTTGGGTTTGAATCCCAGCTGTGCTGTATGACATTGGGCAAGTCACCTAATCTCTCTGTCACTCAGTTTCCTCACCTGTAAAACACCTGAGGAGTTTGAGTTAGATGATCTCTATGGAACCTTTCCATTACAAATCTTGTGAACAATTAGATCTGGAAGAGCTATATAGGCACATTGTTCAAATTGGGTTCTTTCCATCTGTCTTCATGTTTTGGGTGTAATAGTATAAAATTGCAACACAGTTTTCAAAGAAAAGCACAGTTCCTCTCTTTAATGAAAACACACTAATTTTTTTCCCTGCTCCATGAACAACCACCCAAGGTTTATTCATTTCTCCTGTTAGTATTGGTGGCTTTGTGCCTCTTTCCATGGGCAGTTTATATCAGTAGAGATAAGACCCAGGAAGCCATTTCTGTGGGTGCCAGTGATGAGGTCTAGAGGTTTAGGGGTTCTGGGACTCCAAGATCACAACACGTGGGTGCTACCTGAAAGAACTTAACCCAAACCTTCTTTCTGCCAAAGACAAGGTTTATTAAAGATCCGCCATATTAGCCAGAATCTGAACACCTGTTAGCTATTGGCTAGATTGTAAAAATCTGAGCACTGGCTAAATTATAAGAATCCGAGCCTCTTAATGGAGACAAGATGGACCTTATGTACAGAAAGACTGTGGGAGGGATCTTGGAGTGGCCAAGTAGTTTGGGGTGACTGGAGGAGGGGTCTAAGGAAGATCTGAATGGGAGTGGCATGTAACCTGGGGTGAACTGGACTATGGAGCCTAGCTAGGATTAAGTGTGGGGCCAGGGACATAGGGAGGGCTAGGCTAGGGTAAAGGTAACGGAATTGGGAGATTGGGTTTAGCCACAGTGAAAGGCTAGTTGATGGGATTATAGCCTCAGGGGAACTCCAGAGATTTGGCCAGGTGGGAAAGTTCTAGGGCTTTTTCTTTCTGGGGTCTAGATCCCAACCCCATCCAGGAGATTAGAATAACCCTGGGACTGCACCAAGACAAAGACAAATCTGTGTCTTCTACTTGCCTTTGCTCCTAACAGATCTGAGGACAGGGATCAGGGAATCTAGAGAAGATAGCCAGCATGATGAATTGCTTCAAGATTTGTTAGTGTGTTGTTACATTATTTTAATTCAGCCTCACAACACTCCTCTGAGGTATAGGTATTGCAGGTATTGCTTCTATTTTACAAATGAGGACACTGAAGCTCAGAAAGGTTGAATATGTTGCCCAAAGGAATATATCTAATGAATGCCAGAGGTAAGATTTAAATGTAGATCTCTCCTGATTCTATTCTTGAAAACACTGACTAAAACATTGGCAGAGATAGGGCCATTTAAAGGGCAGGCCTTTGTAGGCTACCTATGCAACCAACAAGGGCCAGTGGCAGTGGGTAGTTCAGGGACTCCCAGAAAGATGCCATTTTTTCAACTTTTGGGTCTAATTTTTTTTTTCTTCCAGACCTTCATCTTCACAGATGGTGAAGACCCAGAGTTACGCCTTCGAGCAGGTAATTAAGTTTTCCATCATTACCATTTGTACTGAATACTGGCATTATATCTGCCATGTAATGAGGATAAGGGATATTTGGCTTCTTTTTCCTACCCCAGAGCTTGGGACCGGAACAGGTTTAACTCACTAGCCTGGACCTGTTTTCATGACACCAGGCCATTGGCTAGAGTCTCCAAGGGCTATACTAAGGTTGTCACTGTCTTTTTCCTATTAAAAAAAAAAGTTACTTTTTAATGAATAAATCACTTTGACTACATAGATAGACACCAGAACTAAAACATAAGCTGGTGTAGAGCCCTAATGTTTGGCTGGCCTCCAGGATGCCATATGATCTGAGAGAGTAGAAATAGGCAACAGAATTTACCAAGCAGCTATGCTCTGCTCACCGAGTTTTCTTCTCTAATGTCCACTTCAGCAATATTTTCAATTTACGTGCTTGGCTGGGGTCATGCTGCAGGTCAGGACTTGTGATTTTATTGATGGATAACTTTCAGTAGGTAGACTTCCTTTTTCATGCACTCTGCCGATTGACAACTCTATTGTATAAATAGTCTTAAAGAATTGCTTGGGGGCATGGAATGTTTAAGTGACTAGCCTGGGTCACTTAGGTCATCAAAGGTAGGATTTGAATTCAGGTCTTCTTGATTCCAAGGCCAGCCCTCTATCCACTGTACCAGGCTGCCTCTCTTAACATTTCATACTAAAATGACATGTCCTGAAGTAACCCTGGAATTGGCTATCATCTTGCCTTCCGTCCCATTCACCCATCTCTTATTCTGTCCAGGAGACCATGTCATCAACACCAATTGTTCTGCCATGCACACACGCCAGGCACTCTGCTGCAAGATGTCCGTGGAGTATGACAAGTTCATCGAGTCAGGAAGGAAGTACGTGAGTTGCCAATGCAGAAAACTAGGTGGGGGTCACTCAGGAAACCCCAGAAATCCCAGCCATCAGACGCTAAGACAGCTTGTTTTTGTGGTTCCTCCCCTGACTCTTTCAGCTGCCAGAGCTAAACAGCTGGGCTCATTGAGGCTGCCAAGAGTAATAATCCCCACCCTACCTAATGGGGTTCTTTCCTTCTCATCCCTTGCAGATGGTTCTGCCATGTGGATGATGACAATTATGTGAACTCCAAAGGGCTCCTACAACTGCTCTCTGGTTTCTCCCCAAGTCAAGATGTCTATGTGGGGCGACCTAGTCTGGACCACCCTATTGAGGCAGCTGACAGAGCCCAGGGAAGTGGAACCGTGAGTGACCTGGAAACTTTTATTTTATTTGTGCATTTGAAGTAGGAAGATCAGGGTGGGAAGGGGAACACCTGAGAGAATTCAGCACTAGGAAGAGAAGAATCTGGGGAGCCACCTACCTTTCCTGTCTGTGAAACCCCCGGGGCTTCCTCTGTAAAGTGAGGGAATTGGGCTAGGTGGCCTCCAGGTTCCCTTTCAGCTCCAGACCTTTCCTCTGATTAGACTGAGGAGGGCTTTCTGGAAGTGCAGGAGGGAAAAGATTGGGCAGGGATGTTCCTGGAAGCTGAAAGCCAGATGAAGGGATCCCAGAGCAGCTAGATCCGAAAAGGAAGATATTGGACTGAGAACCTAGAAAGTGACCAGTGGAAAATGATTTTTCAAGCAAGAGGAAGCTTGGGGGAGAGAAGGTGATAAGGAATACTTTTTTTCCTGGACCAAAGACCTGAGATCTTAAAAAGAGCTGTGTAGTCTTTTGAAGTGCTTTGCATGTGTATCATCCTATTTGTTCCTTTTAGGTTGGTAGAATAGGTACTCTTGTCTCCGTTTTACCAATGAGAAAACTGAGGCTCAGAGGACTTATGTCTTGCACAAGAGCTGGAACTTGAACCTGGATCCCTTCCTTCAGTTCGAGTGCTCTTTCAACCCCGCGGTGCTGTGTAGATCAGGAACTCCAGACAAAGGGCAGACTCTGGGAAATTAATTTGGTGGGGAGGGAGAAGTGAGGTCTGATGTGCCAGCCCTTGAGGTTGGATTCTCTCTGCTTGCCTCCCAGGCGTCTACAGTCAAGTTCTGGTTTGCCACAGGAGGAGCTGGGTTCTGCATCAGCAGAGGTCTTGCCCTCAAAATGAGTCCTTGGGCCAGGTGAGTGGGAGCCTCTGGGCTTCCCGGCTCCAAGCAGCCAGCCTAGGACAGGTGGGAAGGGCACAGGCACAGGCATGTTCTGAGCGACCTCTCACCTTCCCTGCAGCCTGGGCAACTTCATCAGCACTGCCGAGAAGGTCAGACTCCCTGATGACTGCACCATTGGCTATATCATCGAAGGGCTGCTGCAGGTGAAACTACTGCATAGCACCCTCTTCCACTCCCACCTGGAGAACTTGCAGAGGCTGCCAGCTGACACCCTGCTCAGCCAGGTACCACACCCAGCCCCTGCCACACTGGCTAGCCCTCAGTTGTAGGGGTCACTCTCTTTTGAGTCCATAGCCAGCTCTCTGCTACCTGGGGTTGTACTTCTTGGAAATGACTATCTCCCTTAGTCCCTTAGGTGACTGTCTCTTTGTATCTGTGTCTGTCTGTCTCCAGTGAGTTGTTCCCTCAACTTGGCCTTGAACTCTGTTGAACTGACTCTTCATCTTTTGGAGGGACTGTTTCCTGGACAAATAAGTTTGCTGCCGGGTATCTTGGCTGAGGCAGGAAAGAGGAGAGTGAAATCCCTCTCCTTTCACCCCTCCCTACTTTGGGCCTGACTCCACAACTACGCTTTAAATTCACAAATCTCCCTTCTTTTAAAGGTACCCAAAAGCATGCATATTTCATTAACTTCTTGTGATTACTTTCTGAGCTGGGGAGTTGCTCAAAGATTAACCCTCCTATACCTCTTTTACACAGAAGGGCAGGGACTTGCCTAGGGTCACGTAGCTAGTAAGAATCTGAAGCAGGATTTGAACCCAGGTCTTCCTGATTCCAAATCCTAAACTCCATCCACCACAACACATTGCCTAACAAAACTGAACTATCTCCATACTTATATTCTTATTGTAATTGAAACTAAAAGAGATAAAGATCAATTCAGGAAGTATGTATTATTAAGTGTTTACTGCCGGGCTTGGTGCTAAGTAGCCAGGATACAAAGACAAAACAAAAGCCGTCCCTGATCTCAGTGACCTTATGCTCTAATGGACACAGTCACCGAGGCAGGAGAAGGAAGGCCACGTGCAGAGGACAGCAGGTAGGGCCTGCAGGGCCAGAAGGGGAAGAGTATAAAATAGGTGGGCTGTGAAGAGCTTTCAGTTTTTTGTCCTTGAGTCACTCAGCTTGACATGGTGCTTTAAAACTATTTATCACTTTGGTAGCTGTGTGGAAGGTAGGTCGTAGAAGGTAGGAAGCCCCGTTAGGTGTTTGTCCCTGTAGTTCAGGCAGCTTCATAAAGGACACCTCGGAAACTTTCTTTGGAGAAGCCAATACAGGAGTTGCAGAATTGATTTCATTGTGCACCTCCATGCAAGAAAAAACACCGTTTCATGCCAGGCTGAGCTACCTTATCTTTCAGTGCTCAAAATGAGCGCAACAAGTCATGCAGATGTTAGGATCATAGACTTAGGGCTGGAAGGGGCCTCAGAGACCCACTGATCTAACCTCATTTTATAGAGAAGAAAACTGAAGCCCAGGGAGGTTGTGACTTCACCAAGGTGACAGAGTAAGGACACCTTATTTGTAAAGTCCAGGATTCGAACCCAAGTCCTCAATTCTAAATCCAGACAAAAACAAAACAGTCCCTATTTTTAAAGAGCTTACATTTTATTGGGGGAGGCCACATGTACATACATGGGCATGTATAAGGTAATTTTGAGAGAAGGAAGACTAGCAGTCAGGGGGAACCAGGAAAAGCTTCATATACTTCAGCTGAGTTGATTCTGAGGAGAAAGAACATTTCATTCAGACGTGGGGAGACAGCCAGTGAAAAAGTGTAGAGATGGGCATTGGAGTGTCCTGTGTAAGGAACAGTAGAAAGGCTGGTGTTGCTGGACCTTAGGATGTGTGAAGGGGAATAACATATCATAAGACTGGAAAGAAAGTAGGTTGGGGCCAGGTTGTAATCGGGCATTCAACAAGTATTTAAGTACCTACTGTGTGCCAGGCATTGGGCGAGGTCCCTGGGATTCAAGTACAAAGTATAAAACAATTCCTTCTTGCAAGAAGTTTACATTCTAAGGGTTTTAAATGCCAAATAGAGGAATTTCTACTTGATCCTAGAGGCAATAGGGTGCCACTGGAGTTTGAGTGAAAGAGTGATAGGGTTAGACTTGCATTTTAGGACCATTACTTTGGTACTTGTGGAGAGAAATTTGAAATAGAACTGCCAGGTAGGAGACTGTCGCAGTGGTGATGAGAACCTGAATGAGGGTGATGTTGGACAGAATTAAGAGATGACAAGGTCTGATAACATATTAGAAATGTGGGGTGGGGAATAGAGAAATTGAGGGTGATTCCAAGGTAGAGAACCTGGGTGTTTGGAATGATGGTAATTCCCCTAATAGAAACAGGTAGCTTAGGAGAAGGATTGGGGGAGGAGGGGATGCAGGGCAGAAATGGGGTCCACAACTAAAAAGCAACAAAACACACCCCTCCCCCCAACTAAACAGATAGAAATCAGAGATAAACAAACCTCAAATAACCCTATTGAACTGATAAATAAAACTGGGAGCTATATTTTAAACTAATGAAATATAGTGCTGTTTGGGACATGTGGTGCTTAAAATGCCTATTGGACATCCAATTAAAAATGTCCAGTAGTTAGTTAGTGATGTGAGTTTAGCGTTCAGGAGAGACACAAAGGCTGGATGTACTGATTTGAGAATCATCTACATAGATGTGGTAATTACACCCATGGGAGCTGATGAGATCACCAGATGAGAGAGTGTAAAGAAAGAAGATTAGAGGGTCCAGGGCAGAGCCTGGGGGTGTACCCACAGTTGGGATTGGAATGTGGAAGATGATTTCAGGAAGGGAGCCTGAAAAGGAGGGTTAGACAGGTAGGAAAAGAGTGATGATTGAGGACAGAGTACCACAAAGACCTAGAGAGGAGGAGAGGGCAGTCAGCAGTGGTCTGCTATGTGGTAGACAAGAAGGACTGAGAAAAAGCTATCAGATGGGGCAAACTTGAGTGAGCGTGGAAGTTGGATTTCCTGGGGCTCTTAGTCATTATGAAGTAGTGCAGCCAGCAAGAAGAGACTTGAGTGGGGATTGGTAGCATGGGGGGATGTGGTCATGTTTGTAGGCATCAAAGAATGAGCCAGGAGTAAATGTTTGTTGAAGGGAGAAGAGAAGGCTTCAGGGGTTGCCATGACAGCCATGAGTAATTCAGTGGAAAGGGCATTGACTCTGGAGCCAGAGAACCCAAGTGCAAACCCTGCCTCCAACTCTGACTATCTTTCTGGCCTTGGAGAAGTCCCTTCTCTCCCCTGGACCTCAGTTTCCTCATCTATAAAATGAGTTGGATTAGATGACTTCTGAGGCTCCTTCATCTGAAACATCTATAATTCTGTGTGCAGGAAGGATGGTACTTGCTCTCTTTAGCCTCAGAGAACCAGGAAAAATGAGAAGAAATTGCAAAGAGGCAAATTAAGGCTCGCTATCAGGAAATACTTCAAACAATTAGAACTGTCCAAAACTGGAGCAGATCTCAAGCAAGGATGGTTTTCTTCTCATTTTGGGAAGTCTAAAATTTTGAGAGGATTACATGTCGGGAATGTTGTAGTATATACTCATTGACCTGGGTGGCTGCTGAGATCCCTTCCAGCTCTCAAATTCTGTGAATGAATGAATGAATGAATGAATGAATGAATGAATGAATGAATGAATGAATGTAGACTCAGTAATGCACTGTTATAGTTGTTATCTGAAAACCAGCCTGGCTGAATTTGGAGAGGCTCACTACCAGATCAGCCACAAACAGGATGATGAAGTTTTGGGTTATGGCCCCTCTCAAAGGCTGTCTGCCACGTCCCAGAGGGATTTCAGTCTTCATTGGTGAAAGGAGCACCCACACTAATGGAATTATATGTTGAGATATACCCTGAATACCAGTGACCCTAGTCACAGAGGTAGCATTGGCAACAACTATGTTGAAAATATGGTTTATTTAAATAATTATTTTGAATTATTTAGTTACTTAAATGATTATCTAAATCTTTATTTTTGTTATTTTATATTAAAATATATGGTTTGAAATCATGAAAGCATCCAGGGGTTTATAAACTTCTCAAAAGTCTCATGTGTCTACATCACAAGTATTTTATTTAAAAGAAAAGTCAGAAGGCACTAGACATGGCAGTGAGTGTAGAACAGTATCATACAAAAAAAAGCAACTCGACTGTCTCAACAGACAGGAACAACTGGTTACAGATGTCTAAGTTCTTTCAGAATTAGCTGCATGTGTGCAGTCAGATCATCAACTGGGTAAAGAAAACATCAGTGTAAATACTGGGTTAGGAAATGGGATAAAGACTGTGCCTGATGATTAAAGCCACCCGGTCCAACCTGTTTAAAAGAGCTGTTTAAACTCTGCAAAACAGGAAATGGACCAAAGTAAATGCATTAAATCTGTCGCTACTTTAAGAAGTTTAACTTTTGCCAAACAGTGCATATACATGAGCAAGCTAGAAAAGCCTGGAAAATACTTTAATATGTGGGAAAAGGGCACCTGAAAGTCAATCGTCTACTTCCCAACCAATATGCCTGCTTTTTCATCTCTCCAGCATCTTTGTGAAGATGATCTGTGCATACTTGTCAGTTATCCTTGATGAAAACATGAGAAGAGAATAGGCAGGCTTCCAAAGAAGCTGACCACATCATTAGCATGACATAGTTGACTGAGAAATGTAGAAAACTTGAGATTGTCTATTATTTACTTTTTAACATTTTAAAATTGTGGAAAAGAGAGTTGTATTTGAAGTCAGGAATCTTTTTCAGCTTTTTTTTTTTTAATATTAAATTTAACTTGGTAGTTATTAACTGCTCTCTTCTGTGTATTTTTAAAATGTTCCATTGATAACGCCTTTCTTTCTTTTCTCCTTTTTAAAATCACTGTTATTGGCCATTAGGGTTTTTTTTTCAGTAGTTCATTTATGGCTTTTCCAATTCTTTTTCTGATACTGGGTTATTTAAATTCTCTATTTCTTGTTCTAATAATCTGAGCATTTTATATTTTTTTGCAAATATTTATCCATTTCATTTGTTGATTTTTTTTTTCTAGCACATACTTCTTAGGCAATATAGTTTCTAATATTTCCCTTCATTTCCTCTTCATTTGTTATGAGGTCTCCCACTTCATTTTTTATATTGACAGTTTGGTTTTTCTCTTTTGTCTACTGTATTTCATTAGTTTAAAATATAACTCCTAGTTTTATTTATC